TGGGAGCCGACCTCGTCAGTCTGGAATCGACGGGAGAAACTAACTTCTTGATACCTCAAGTACGACCATACTGGTGGACGAGTGGCAATGACTTAGCGGTTAACACGCAGTGGGTGTGGGCTGCCACAGGTAGACAGATAGAGATGTGCGCACCTATCAACGCTGGGTCCCGTGACCCAATGGTGGGCTCAGTAGTGAACGATGTATTGTTTGTATGTTGCGTACAATGGATGATGTCGGACGTCTTACTTCAGAAACCTAAGGTTGCTTAGCTGTGAGAAATACACCTGAACCCGGGGCCCGTTGTCGGAGATTTCGTGAATGGTTATCATGAGTATAAAATGCCAGGACTTTTGCATGACGTATCTCTTTTGTAAGACCTATCTCTTTAAATTAGCCTTTGATGTATAGGATTTTATCTCGGATGCGACTTTAGTCGAAATATATGAGATTTAGATTTTAGATTGATAAACTAGTAATTTGGTGTGTTTAATATTCGATTTTATCTCGCAGTTAGCGATATATCTCACATATACACTTTTTATTATCCTTTCATTTTATTGTTCAGTCGTTGCGACATTGATGCGCTGCGTGATCATTTTATGTATAAATGCGCAATATAAATAAATAAAATTATAACAATAATAATAATAATAATAATAGGCCTAATGACGTGTCACCTCAAAGGTTATGACGTTTGTAACTTATGATGTCAAAGCTACACATGATGTTTCTGACAACGCCCCCCCCCTCCCAGATGCAGACGAGCGTAATGTGTGTGTGGCCGAGGCAGGACAACATAGCAACGAAAATGAATGCAAATATAGATACCTGAGGAATGTGATTGCCCGGTGTGTTAGATGCAGAACAACCCGAAGGGTCATTGGATGGTAATGCGTTAGATACAATACAAACGGATAAGCTATCGGAAAGAAATCAGAGATGGGGTTGAGGTAAAAAAACACAAGAAGTAAATATGTACAGTAGTGCTTCGACTACATAGTGTGCCGATTGAAGTAACAGGCACTAAATCGTATGTTTCATCACTCGCAATTTTAGATTTTTTATTTTTTATTTTAGATTTTAGATTTATGATATATATATATATATATAATTTACTACTAATAGGTTGTGATCATGCCTTTAAACATAGTTATAGTAAAATTTTCGTTTTACATATAATTATAATATCAGCTGTTTTAATGAAATTTTCCATACTTCTCTATTATTTGAACTTTTCAAAAAGTGACAAAGATGCCGACGCGTCGATAATAATATATGGACTACAGCAGCTCCCCTACTTACGAACATAATAGGTTCCTGAGGTTGGGTTTTAAGTCCAAATGTTCGGAAGTCCAACATTACTCTTATAAAATTTATTTAATTTATATTTAGTATTTAATACTAAATACTGTACACAGCATTGTAAAAAATGATTTGTACAGTACAGCTATACCCCAATAATACTCGACAGTATATTTTACCGCATTACTTAAAGTTACTACTATACTACAGATTACTACCATGATATACACTATATTTACCAGCCTTAAACAGTATGTTGTAGAATATCGTGTGTAGTAAGAGCTTGTGTCGCGTGAGAAATTTACCTTGAGATAAAAGTTAAAAGTGACAAGGTCGAAACAAATTACGACGCCTGACGATCATACACACAATTTCATGTAATTGTTCGAACTAATATAACGCGAATGCGTGATATACAATCACAACGCTATCTCGGGCTAAATACACGCTAGTCCGGGCTAATAGCGTGTACGCACGACAAAGATTTAGTCCGGGCCTGGCACGACCGGGTTTGATGTAGGATAAAATTTGCAGTCTGTACGGGTTACGGCATTTGACACGTGTGGCCGACTCTTGTGGCAATTCTCGGGGGAAAACGTATGTATATAGTAATCTACAATATTTCTCATGTTTGTTGTGTATTTAAACCGACTCTAATTTTGCTTTTCTCCTGTGTTAGTTTTTCATAATTTGCGTACGGGTATAGTATTAAAGTTGGACATTGGGCGTTTACTTTTGCGTGTAAAGCCCTGTGTACACTGTCAACATTTTTGGTAACATTCTCGGTAACATGTTGACCAGGTATACCTTGTTGCCGAAACTGTTGACAGTGTAGGTACACAGAGTAAAAAAGTTCGGTAACATGTTACCCAAAATGTTACTGAGACGTTGACGAAAGAATGCAGATGCATTTATGTTATCAGATGTTGACGAGGTTTAACCAATCAAAAATAGGCTCTAAATCACCTGATCTACATGTGGTCATGTGATTTGAACAAAATGGCAGCCACCAAGGAATGGACCAAAGAGAAAGAGAACAAGTTAATTGAATTATGGGAAGGCTGTACCTTTTTGTGGGATGTAACATCACAGCAGTACAAAGATAAGAATAAAAAAAAGTCTGTCCTGCAACTCTTATATGAGGGCTTGTCCCCCAGTCTTAATTCCTTCAGGAGACAGTGATAAGCTCCATGCTGCTTCCTCAGGGTGATCCAGGGCTTTGTCCACACTCGAGTTCTTTCGTTACGTCTTCTCTTCCGTCTGTCAACTATGAACATCAAAATTGCAGCAGAAGCACTGACAAGACATCTTCTCCTCTTCTCCTCTTCCATTTTTATAATTTTTCCTCCAAAATCTGACCTAGAAATCCTCATTCCTGCTCATTTTTCGGTAACATCTCGATAACATGTTGGCCAAATGTTACCCAGTAACTGTTGTTACCCAGTGTACACAGGGTCAAAATTTATGTTGCCCAGGATGTTACCGTACATTGTCAACATGTTACCGAGAATGTTACCAAAAATGTTGACAGTGTACACAAGCCTTAACTTAACGTGCGATAAAACGACACGATAAAATGTTCATGTGTCAGCCGTGTGGCGGTTGCGCTAGCTATGAGTTACGGCCATAGAACTAGAATAGGTTCTCTTCTATTTCTCTATTCTCTATTTTGCTATCCTTTATTCTAGTACTATGGTTACGGCCGGTCAGACTTCATCGAATCATAGATTATGATGGTGAATACGAGGATATGAATAGAGTATTGTCTATAGTCTATGGAACGGAAAGTTTATTCCAGTGTGGTTATAGAGGTAGTGTGTGGCAAATGGTAGAGTTATCTCTTAGTGGAAGCGCCAGCGAGCAAATTAGATTTATTTGTGCCTTTGCAATACTAGACGGGAAGAAGATATCATGTCGGGCCCGCCCTGCACAATGATGGATCGACTTGAAATAGAGAAGCCGGTAGTGGATAGTGGCAAGTCACGGTTGGGCGTTAATGCTGGTATTTCTTCTTTCCCTGGTTTTTCTGCTAAAATTTCGTGTTAGAAGACAGGATGGCGAGTGGCACGCGCAGCGCATAGGACCACAGCATGTACATCAGCCGGCGACAGGGGTGCGGCAGGGCGCCACAGAGACGCGAGGACTGCTAACAACACCAGCGCGCACGCTCGCCGCCAGACGATGATAAGCATGAATCACGAAACGAAGCGAACGAAACGAACTGACCAGCGTCATACTCGCCCAAAGCAAAATACACGCGATATACTTCCGAGTTTAATATTATTATTAATATAAGAAAATAGTATTAAAAGGCCACTAAAAAGGTATACGGCTCGTCATGCTGCTATAACTATATACTGCGAACACCCCCTTGTACGGACTAGAATGAAGTTATGTGTCTCCGTGGTAAAGATTATTCGGTCTAACACACGTCATATACAATGCTGATAAAACTTAACCAATGATCAAATACCAATAGAAGTGATGCAAGGGCGCAAATCGGACCAATGTCAGGTCTTCAAGTCCAGTCAGGCTCCAGTAGATTACCGAAATATCAAGTCATGATGACAAAAAAACGATGATACGAGATTATAATAAGAAAAGTATTAAATCATAATACCTGTGAAACTTGAGCTCAGTACTTTACTTGATTTACGGTGGCTAACTGACTATACGAATCTATGATAGTATCATGTGATATTTTTAATTAACTTACCGCAACACACGGGAGCGAACAAACGTTCTGAGACGTCACACAATCGGCCTTTATTGTTTAGCAATCGCTTATGTCACGAAAATGAACCACAACAAATATTTGAGAAACATCACATATCTTTAATAAATCAACATCAATATCACATGAAATTTGCATGTTCGATGTTATAGATGTCATGAACTTTCCGTAATTTGAGTTTTCTATACGCAGTTGGGGGGTGCCATGTATCTCATACCCTGTAGCAAACTTGATCAGCATTTTACTATTCTCGCTCTTCGCCTACACTCTAAACAGCGGAGGCATACATAGGCCTACTAAATTTAGAAGCTCGAATCCCCAGGTGGTGCATTTAGGTCATGCAATTAGGTTATACGCGGCCAAGGCGCATAATATACAGAAGTAAGAATATTAGTAGCTACGTATTGTCTGAGTTTGTATATAATTCCAGCTGTTTTGGACAATTTATTTCTAATATGTTTAATGTGAAAGCTCCATTTAAGTTGATTATCAATATGAGTACCTAGGTATTTATTGTGATCAGTCTGTGTGATATTAATGTTAAGTATATTGACATGAAAATTAGGAAATGCTGAAGTCTTATATTTGAGGTGATCATGAACTTGAGTTTAAAAAAATTGATCGATAATTTGTTGGCAGCCATCCATTCATCTGTGAGTCTAAGATTGATATTTACTAGAGAATTTAATTCAGCTAGATTATTACTGGACATAAATAGATTAGTGTCATCCGCGAACAGTCTTGTAAGAAAGTTAGATGCAGATGGCAGATCATTTATGTAGATCAACCTCCCCTTACTCCGTAGTGTTCGAATTTATATAAAAGTATCTCATGCTGCATTGTATCACATGAATTTGAAAGATCAAGAAATATCACATAAGTAATTTTGCCGACATCTAAAGATTCAAGAAGAGTATCGTGGATTTCATAATTGTCAAGACTGTAGAATGATTTTTTTCTAAACCCAAACTGATTTTGTGAAAGTATATTACATTTGGTTAGGAACTTATCAAACATATTATATAGAGACATTTCTCAAGAATTTTCGAGAATGGAGAGAGAAGGGAAATAGATCTGTAATTTAACGGGGTATTAAGTGATTCAGATTTGTAAGTAGGTATAATTTTAGCTTGTTTAAGACAGTTGGGGGAAAACTCCAGTAATCAGTTAAACATTGAGCAAGTGCGTACATATACGGTTTCAGACATTCGTTAACTCCTCCTATCTGTTTCTCCAAGGCACAACGTGTGGAAGAATGGTTTAATATACATCTTCTGGACGTGTCCATCTACGGCATATGTGGCGTTAAGGTGATACTGTAAAAGTAAAAATTTATGTAATTATACTAGAAATTAGGGATATGTATAAACGGAAGAGTGAGACGAATGGCTAGCATGCCGATAACAATGTGTGCGTCGAAACTCGATCTCACGGGTGTGTTCCTTCGCATACACCACGTCTCTTTCTGCAAGCGCTCGGCAGATCCATACTAAGTCTATCCATTTCCTACGACAGCTTTTGTTTCTATTACCAATGATACACTCGTAAGCGCTCTTCTTTCTTGTTCTGCGCGCACTCGTAGTTTACACACATACCTTATGAAAATGACAAGAGCAGAATCCGCCATCGTGAAAACCTTGGAACATGGGCATCGTAATATTGATTGGGTTAACAAGCTTTACGTTTTGAGACCTCTGTTTCTCCGACTCGATAATATGGGCGACGGCTAGATTTCTTTTCAGATGACGAACTGGATCCCACTGAAATATAAGCAATATTCCAATCAAAACGCCGAAAACATATTTCAACACTGTATTAACCTTGTTATCGTCTTAGATAAATTTTATTGCATAGTAACTGTTAACTCACACTAGTTTAGCCAGGGGAACAAGAAAACGGAACTACATTATTTTTCAGTTTATCTTTTTAAAACTCAACATGTTGCATAAATATAAACGCAAGAAAAAGAAAATCAAACAAAACAACATCAGCAGTAAAATGAGAACGTTGGGTTTTAGAAAATAGGAGCTGTAAAACTTATAAGGTTTTCATAATTTTATAGTTGCACATATGGTTATGTTTTACTACTAATTACTAACAATAAAATAGCGACCATGCTACATAAACCAAAACGGCACCACTGCTTACTAAGGAAGGTGTCTTTATCTGTGGGTGATGCAGAGCAGCATTGTCCATTTTTATCACAACAGTAACATTTGTCAATCCAGCACTGAAATACACACATACATACACATTAACACACTCAGTGGTTATGTTCAATCATTCATATTACTGTTAAAACGCCATTTACAGCATTTGATTCACCGCTAAGCGAACATCTAAAAACAAGTTCTCCGCCTAGATTTCCATCTAAATTTACCAAGCATTTAAATAGACCTACTTGTCTAACCTGCCCATGAACCATTTATATATTGCAGGTTGCATCCAGTATGCGCCACCTAATGCGAAAATGGTATTCTTCGTATTTTCTATCTTTCCGCCTCTGTGGAATGTTACAGGGGAACCTTGGAAGATGTTTTTAAACACGCGCGTTTTGAAATGATCAACACACAAACATAATCAACACGATCGTATTGTACTTGATAGACGTATTCGACATACGACATACTGATTACAATATCATGTGAAATAGCATATGAATAATAGCCACAGTCACTAATATAATTAAACCCTAAGTATGATTATAATGTTTTAAATAACAATTGTACGCCCGTCTCTCTCTCTCTCTCTCTCTCTCTCTCTCTCTCTCTCTCTCTCTCACGCCTCTCTCTTCTCTCTCTCTCTCTTCGCTCTCTCTCCTCTCTGCACGGGGGGTTGCGTGCCGTGCGTGGCCGTGGTGTGTGTGCGTGCGCCGCGGGTGTGTGTGTGTGTGTGCGCGCGTGTGCGTGCGTGTGGGTACGTGGATGCATTCGTGCGTGCGTGCGTGCGTTCGTAAGTGTGTGCGTGCGTGTGTGATGTATGTGTTCAATAACGCACGTCGACAGCAGCTTGTCAAACTCGCTATTGAAGTATCTTGGTATGTCCACCACGTCGTCTTCTTCATACGCCAATATTCGGCTGTACTGCATGGCAACCTTCTTCCCTTTATTGGACGTAGTCACGTAGATGTGTTGACCAGACGCATTGCCGGTTCCTTTCTTCAATTTAAGGGCGCCATGCATGTAGTCGAAAATTCCTCGTAAAATCGAGTCGCCTTGAAATAGTATCTGGTAAAATGAACCGCAAAACGGATTGTCACACATAAGCAGGCGTTTCCGGTGAGTAATCAGTTCGTGGTAGAAGAATGGGTGGCGTATGATGATCGAGTAGTAGAAAACATGCGGCTGGAAGGTCACGCAAAGGCGGATAGCGAGTTGTTAAGGAGGAAGCTATCGAGAGAGGGTCCTCCTTAACAACTTCCAATACACCTGAATCTAATGCTAATTCTAATTCTAATTCTACAACATTCAGGTGACCGACACTTTCTGCGTTGGAACACCTCGTCGCTATTTTTCAGCAGGCAACGCTATATCCCGCAGATCAATCAGACTTACCGTTCGACCAGCGAGACATGCTTGTATATTTTTTTTATTCAAGTCCATGTAACGGCAATCGTAAGGCTGCCAAACAGCTTTGGGCCAGTAACAGGACTGTCTATCGTAACAGGAGCCACACGGGACAAGCCATCTCCCTATAGTGAGGAGAGAAATACTAATATTAAACTGGGACACATCCGTTTAGATTTACGAGAGGGAACAATGTCATACCGATGCACCACGACGCGAATTCATCCCGTCTTAATATCAGTGTTATTTTGTAATATACTTGTTTTTTCAAATAATTTAAACATAATTTGTGCGATTCGTGGCGTATGTGCTGATTACGTGCTCTAACGTAAGCAATCCTCGTGCGTCCGTTTTAATGACGTAATGATGCAAACGTCAGCACTGACCGTAATGATCCTGACATGAACTTTATGACGTGATTGCCACCAAACATGTCTTAGTTTCCAGCCCGCACAGAATTTTATTAATAACTCAATGGGACATGAAAGACTATGAATGACTCATTAATTTATAAAATTATACTTCAAATGATACATCAAACGTCATGATATTTGGAGGCAGAAAAAACACAGATTGTATATAGTGTAAATAGAGAATAGACACAGAAGAAAGATATA